CATGCAAATTGGACTTCCTGCCAGGAATAGGGAGCTGGGATGTCATAGGGCAGAGCAAGCCTGAAGCCTGGTGACAAGCCCATTTGGAGCAGAGACCCGGCAGCAGCCCTGCTGGGAACCAGGCTTCAACATAGCCATGAAATTGACAAGGCAACCAACAGCTGATGTAAGTAATGCAGTGTCCCTATTGCCACTGTGTCATCCCTAAATACACCAACATAAGGCGGTGGAGATGTCGGTGTAGTGGGGCACTTATATAGACTGGACAATGCTGGAGTGTATACACTGATGTGGTTAGGTCAACATAAATTGCCTTATGCCAACTTAACTGGAGCATTCACCAGGACTCTGTTACACTGGATATCTACAAACAGTTCAGTTGTCGATGAGAACCCTTCTTTCTGAAGTGCCCATCTAGGAACAGTGGTTTCAGCACAAAATCAGAAACAAGACTCCTGGATCTTATTCAAGATTAGGTTCTAGATTCTTAGACTGTAAACTCTTGTCCATAACACAGCACGATGTGAGTCTGGACGAGGATTGGGGTCTGCAATACGAATACATAACAGTATTTCTAGCTTTAGCAGATTTTTTTGTGACTTTGGGAAGTCACAGACTTTCAGTTTCAATTTCCCACCTGTCAATCTAAATTAGAGGAATCACTGATTTGTATCATGACTTCACCAGTTAACACTCAGTGGATTTTGAAGGTGAAGCCTGTGTGTAAGTACTATTATGCTCACATGCATCTCTAGGCACAGAAACAAATCCCTAGCCAACAAAAGAGAGAGATTCTTTCAAGACCTGGGAGATCATTTCAGGGTGTGGCAAGGTACTTGCTCAGGCCTCTCGCCCTGGGACACCTTCTTTGTCCACAGATAACCAGAAGATCCTTTCTTGTGCAATGACCCATGCCTTTTTTTGTTTGTGTATTTCCCACCATCTTCTATTTACAGAGCTTTGGTTTTCCAACAGCTCCCCCTCCCTCTGGCACACATACAACCACTCTAGCTTCTCCCCTTTTCACGGCCCCTCTGGATGCCTTATATAGCCCTCTGGCTAATGAGGCCCCCAGCTGCTTCCATCAGCCCTTCAGGCCTGGGCTCACTCAGCTGGCTGTAATTGGTCTTTTCAGACAGGCTGCAGTGGCAGAGTTCTGTTTAGTCAGCATCTGTCACAAGGGGAAGCAAGACATTGAGGGTGCGTCTAAACTGGCAATATTTTGCACAAAAGCAGCTGCTTTTGCACAAAATCTTGCCGCCTGTCTACATTGGCCGCGAGTATTTGTGCAAGAACACTGACTTTGTACTGTACAATATCAGTGGTTCTTGTGCAAATACTTCGACGCTCCCGCTCAGGGATAAGCCCTCTTGCGCAAGTGAGCCAGTGTAGACAGGCAAGTTAATTTCTTGCGCAAGAAAGCCCAAGGTCTAAAATGGCCATCAGAGCTTTCTTGCGAAAGAGAGCATCTACACTGGCACGGATGCTTTTGCGCAAAAGCATCCGTGCAAGTGTAGACGCTCTCTTGCACAAATACTTTTAATGGAAAACCTTTTCCGTTAAAAGTATTTGCACGAAATCATGCCAGTCTAGACGCAGCCTGAAAGTTACTGCCTTCAATGGACTTGCGTATTTTGGGTGGCTCAGAGCTCTGTCTGCATATCCAGAGTGGGGAATGAATTCTAAAACCAACTCTAGATACCTGGGCTGTAAACGGAGGCTAGCAGCCTTCTCCAGAGAAAGACAATCTTTTCTAAAGAGCTTGCTTTAAAAATGCATCAGAGCAAAAAGAAAAAGCAGAACTAAAGGGAAGGAAGCAGAGCAGCTCTTTCCTACAATGCCTCCCTAAGGGGAAGCATGTGCTGATGTTGGCATTGGGGCAGACATTCAACTTAACTTTCCACCAATGGAATGCAAGAGGAACCCCTGTTTTAAAACCCACAACTCCAAAGTTTTTATGCGGTAAAAACTTCAGATTGCCTGCTCTCAGGCATGGAGCAGACATTTGGCTGCGTGAACAGACAGTGTCTTGTCTTTTTCCTCCCCCCTTCCCGTTCAAGGAGGAATCTGAAGTTCCTTCGCAAATCCAGGATAACAGTATGAAGACATGATATGTAAACAGAGGAAGCCAACTTTCTATTATCTGCTATTTACCAGCCCTCAATAACTGCTGCAGTCACTTCAGTGCACTCAGCAGCATCTTACTTTCTTCATGCTACTTTCCAGTGGGTTGTCATGAGACCGGGGTGGGCAATAATCTTTGGGGGAGGGGCCTCTTCAAGTTCTGGAAAGTGGTCAAGGGCCACACTTTTCTATGGAAGAGATGCAGGGTCTAGGGTGGAGGCTGGGTTCAGAAAGGTGTACTGGGTAAGGGACTGGGGCGCAGGAGATGGTGTGAGGTAAGAGAGGGAGTTTGAGTGAAAGAGGGGGCTGTGACCTGGGTCGGGGATAGGGAAGGAGTATGGGCGCAGGAGAGGATTCTGGTCTGGAGGGGGGGCTCTAGGAGGAGCTGCAAAATCTGGGAGGGAGCTGTGACCTGGGAGAAAGGGAAAAGGGGATGCAGACTGCAGAGGATGTGGGTGGTGACCTGGGGCAAGGGATTGGGGTGCAGAGTCTGGGAGGGTGTTTCGGTGCAGGACAGGATTCTGGCCTGGGGGAGGATTGTAGAAGGTGGAACAGGGTCTGGGAAGAGTTGTGACCTGGAGCAAGAGGGTACAGAGGGTTTGGATGGTGACCTGGGGAAGGAAGTTGAGGTGTGGGAGGGGCAGGGGTGACAGAGGCAGGCTCTGACTGGGAGGCGCTCACCTAAGCCAGCAGCTCTGTAGCAGGGCCGGATTAAGGCATGGCTGAGCAGGGAGGCTGGAACAGTGGGGACCATGATCCCATCACTTGCCCTTCAAGCAGGTAAAAAGTAACAGGGGAGAGGAGGTAGAGAGGAGCAATCAGGGGCAATCCTCGGGGAAGGGGTGGAGTCTACAGGGGAAGAGGTGGGGTGGGGCCATTGTTCAAGTGCTGGTGCTCCCCCTACTTCTGGGAAATCCTGGCACTCGTGTGGCTAAACATGTAGGCTGTGTCTACACTGGGCCACTTATTCCGGAAAATCAGCCGCTTTTCTGGAATAAGCTGCGAGCTGTCTACACTGGCCCTTGAATTTCCGGAAAAGCAACGATGCTCTACTGTACAAAATCAGCCGCTATTCCGGAAAAACTATTCTGCTCCCGCTCGTGCATAAGTCCTTATTCCGGAACACTGTTCC